TTCCCAACCCACCCAACCGCCGCAGCATGATACCGTGGTCCACAGTATCAAAAGCCGCCGAGAGGTCCAAAAGAACTAGGACAGAGGAATAGCCCCTGTCCTGGGCCCTCCAGAGATCATTAACCAACGTGACCAATGCCGTTTCCGTGCTGTAACCCGGCCTGAAGCCCGACTGGAGAGGGTCTAGATAGACTGTTTCTGATCAAAAGTTCTGAAAAGATTTTGGGATTCTCAAAACAAGTGATCAAAAGTACTCAGACAGGAGTAATTGTCTAAAAAAGAAAGATGATAAAAATCCAAACTTTCAGTGACCTTTTAAAGGTAAAATAATAATAAGATCCCTAAAGAGAATACCAACCCCTGAAACCCCAACTGCGAGCACAGTAATTCTTTATCAGAGAAACAGCAGGGTGTGATTATAAAGATCCACTGAAAGGAAGTGAAAATTGAACTTCCTGATCATTTTGGCTACATGTTAACTGATCAGTTATAAAAGTCAACAAGAACATTCTTGCAAATTGCAACATCATCTTATCTACACATTGAAAAAAAACCCCATTCATACCCAATCAGGAAAGCACTACGATTATCCTGCAAAAAAAAGCAAACAAGAGACGAACAGACTGCATGCATTTATCTGATATTTCATAGTAGTATTACATGATATTGCTTTGGAAATAAGTACTATCTTAACTCATCTCATTGCAATGCCTTTCAAAATGAAAAATTGACACTTGATTTTTCATTTTAGTATGTTTGATGGGGCTACTTTAGCTGTTTCAGCAGTACAGTAGTTACTATTAATATTATCATTTAAGAGAAAATGAAACAATTTCTTGAAACTGAAAGAATTTTCTAATTTTATAAGCATCTACTTTTTTCCTAGTTTCCCAACTTTTAGTATTTTATTAGACACAATGGTACATAATTCTCTTCTGAAGACAGATTTCTTCATAACCTGAACATTTTAATTAAACCAATATTCTTATAAAGAGCAGTACCTTACCTTGATTACATTTTTCAACCCATTTGTCTTTCGTATTATTAATCAAAGAAGTGATGCTAAAAAAGAAAAAATCCCAAACTGAATTTTGGCACACGTTATGTTGTATATAAGTTTCCCTATTTTTTAAGACTGTATATGAGAAGTCATATATAGTATCCTCTTCTGTAAGCTATTTACAGAGATAAGAACGGTATATTCTCCTCGGTTTTTTCCCCCAAATAAAGTCCCTGAAATGCATATATTGCTACTTGTGTCATGAAATTCAGTCATAAAATTGTACAGGTCATTCTCAACTTATGACCATTTGTTCAGCAACCTTTCAAATTTATGTTGTTGAAAAAATGCACTTATGACTTGTGCCCAAAGTTACAGCTGTTGCAGCATCCCTGTGGTCATGTGATCAAAATTCAGGCACTTGACCACAGGAGCCCTTCAACTCCCCCCACTTATCTATCTCCTCCCATTTATGCCCTTTTGACTATCCTTACATGCTGCCTTGTGAAGTAGTAAACAGCCCCAGAACAGGCACCTTTTTGCTGTCTTTGCTGCCTCTTTTTCAGACCCAGCTTCTTCTGCGTTGTCTTTTTTTGAGACAGCTTTTGGCTATATGTAGCAAACGGTCTGAAGAGGAAGTAGTGAAAAGACTCTGAAAAGCAGACAGCAAAGGCAGTGAGGTGCTTCTGCCTCGACCATGGCAGCTGGGTGCAAAAAGTTGGTGCAGGGAATTAGGAGAGAAGGCAATTGGGTGAGCTGCGCTGCATGGCTTGGGCATTGCTTGCTGCCTCCCAAGGCAGGATGCTGAGCAGCCAAAGGGCAGAGATAGAGGGAAATAGGTGCCTTACCTTACTGCACCTTGGGGCTGGAAAGGACCAAGCCCAGAAGGGCTTGAATTGGGATGGATATTCTGTTAAGGACCTGTAATTCTTGGTTAATGACCACAATGAAGAGTGCCAGACTTCCATTGTAAATTGGTGGGGGTCACATGACATCTTACTGACTGGAAATTTTGCCTCCAATTTTGATTGTAAGTTAAGGACGACTGTACTGTACTGTAAACAATGGCTTGGCTGCATAGGAAGCTAAAACTAACTGGAATTCCAGATTATAAGATTATAGTTGAAACTTTAGTTAATAAACCAATTAAAGTAAGCTTCTTTGATCCAGTTATTTTAAAAATATATTTAGAATCTGAACCAACTAAAGTGTTAATCTGTAATAGAGAATTTTGGTAACTTTGAAACTGAAAACTAAGTTCTTCTTATTCAAGTGTTCAATATTGTAATTAAAAACGTTTAGCAATCCAGGCTCATTTCACAAAATGTATTAGGTCATAATGTGTGTAGTATATCATTTAACAAGTTAAATAAATTTCACTACTGAAGCCTTTAAATAAGGGTATCTGGCTTATCA